GGGGGGGGGGGGGGGGGGGGGGGTTAGAGTACTATATATTTGAATCCACCAATAGAGGAAATAGCTTTTTTTTTTTTTTAATTTTAATTTTAAGATAAATTTTTGGCATGAATCTTTTAGTTGATAATACATGAGTTTGGTTCAAGTTAGAAAAAATATATTTATTGGTTATGTTAATTTATTTGTTTTATTTTATGGTGTTTACAAAAAAAAAAATTAAATAGGTGTGTTTAAAAATTTTGATGACCCAAATCAATTTTGTTTGGATCGGATTCAAATAAATAAAAATTCTATGAGTAGAATCAATCTAAATTTATTGTTAAAATTACATGAAATTATATCTGTATATATTTATTTTATTTTTATTTAAATTGTTTATTTTTTTCTTAACTCTTAAAAAAAATAGAAAATTTTAAAAATATATATATTCATCGTGAATTGTAAATTTGAATTAAATATATCGAAAGTAAATAAACATTTATTTTACCAACATTTTAGTTTTATTAAAGACCATTTTAGTTGAAAAAAAAAATTGTGAGTCTAAAAAATGTTCAAACTCAATCTAACTCAACCGTCTTCAGAAATACAGTGAAATCGCCTTCCCTATTCTTTCCTCTAACCTTGGGACTAATAAAGATGTTGACCTCTTAAAATATTCCATATACGTAGGCGGGAATAGGGGAAAGAGGAAAGAGTCAGATTTATCCCGATAGAAGTAAGAGTAATAATAATGTTTATAATGCTACAATATATAGTAAGCAAAATAATTCGAAAAGAAAAAAAATGAGGATATTAAATAACTCCAGTGGATGCATAGGACGAACACCCTTAATTTTAAATGCATAATAAATATAATTCGTAAACATAAAAAGAAAAATCTCTGATACGATCTGTAGCCAAGGCTTGAAATGTCTCGAAAAAACTATAATTTAATTAAGGTTAGAATTATTCCGTACATAGTTTTATAATTAAAGAATATTTTAAAAGACTTTATAAAATTATAAGGACGAAAATTTAATCTGAATAAAAATTATGGGATAAAAAAAAGTATATTCTTAGAAACAGAATATTGAGTCAATAATTCAGTTTGTAGAGATCCAATTGGAAATTGGAAAAAAAAAAAAAAAAAAAAAAAACGTTGGTTTAATTGAAGAATAAGAACATTGAGAAGAAATCAGGCAATGGAACCGAAGCTGTCCCATTCCCTCCGTTTTGCCTCCTTCACCAACTAACCATCTCTCCGCATAACATCAAATCTTCCCCCTTCCTCATTGATTTCGTTTCTCCAATCCCAGATTTTGAATTTTCTCTTCATAATCCCAACAGTTTTTCCACTGCAACGCCCCGATCTTCCTTTTCCTCAACCATTCTCATGAATTTCCCCATCATTTCTGCTCTCGTTGCCTTCGCAATCGCCCAGTCCATCAAGTTCTTCACTACTTGGTATTGTTCTTCAACTTTCCATTATAATCGTGCTTCTCGGATCCGATCCATTTCTTGCTTTTCACCCATTACGTATGAGCTTTCTACTAATTGATTCTGGCTGCCTGTGTTTGTCGCGTTGAGCCTTGATATTGCAAACCCTATATGACGAAAACAATTGTTCTGAGATAATATTAGGTTTCTTTAAATTTGTGTAGCTCGTCTAATTATGAGTCGTTCGTGTACTGTTCTTGCATCTACTATAGGATTCTGTGATCTGTTCTCCCTCCGTCGTCCTAATCAGAAAAAGTGTTTTGTTTATAGCTTTATGAACAAGCACTTTTAGAAGCTTTTATTGGTTTTGGATTCCTTTTTCTTGTTCAAGACTTTAATTTATGGTCTTTTAAGCTCTTGTAACATTGCAGGTATAAGGAAAGGCGATGGGATTTTAAGAGACTAGTTGGATCTGGTGGAATGCCTTCATCTCATTCTTCAACTGTTTCTGCTCTTGCTGTAGCCATTGGCCTTCAAGAAGGCTTTGGAGCTTCAGCTTTTGCTGTTGCATTGATCTTAGCCTGTGTTGTATGGTTTCCCTGTTCATTTTTCGATACCATTTTGAGTAAAAATTGTAAAGATCTTGGAACCATTCTAAGATGATGTATGACATTGAGAATTTGGTGGCAGGTAATGTACGATGCAACTGGTGTAAGATTACAAGCTGGGCGCCAAGCAGAGGTTCTATGGTTCATCTGTGCTTCCTTGTTCAACCCTTCCTCCCTTCCTCCTCTTCCTTTTTTAGTCCTTAATTGCTCTCATTTGGGTATTGTTTTTGTATATTTAAGCTTATCTTTTTTTCTTGACTGTGTTTGATTTTGTAGGTTTTAAATCAAATTGTTTACGAGCTTCCTGCTGAACATCCTTTGGCTGAGAGCAGACCACTGCGAGAACTTCTTGGTCACACCCCTCCCCAGGTAAGGTGACATTGTGCAGTCTATTAGGAGATTCTTGTCTATGAAATTGACACGTTAATCAATTTGTTAATATTGTATTAAGTGTTAGGAATCACGGCTTTCACAATGGTATAATATTGTCCACTTTGAGTGTAAGCTCTCACCGCTTTGTTTTTTGTTTCTCTAAAAGGTCTCATACCAATGGAGATGTATTGCTTACTTATAAACTCGTGATCATCCCCGTAATTAGCCAACGTGGGACTCTCTCCCAACAATCCTCAACAATCCTCCCTTCGAACAAAGTATACCATAGAGCCTCCCTTGAGACTTATGAAGCCCTTGAATAGCCTCCCGTTAATTGAGGCTCAACTCCTCTGGAGCTCTCGAACAAATTACGCTTTTTGTTCAACACTTGAGTCATTCTTGACTACACACTCAAGGCTCACAACTTCTTTGTTCGACACTTGAGGATTCTATTGACATGGCTAAGTTAAAGGCATGGTTCTGATACCATGTTAGGAATCACGACCTCCACAATGGTATGGTATTATCCACTTTGAACGTAAACTCTCACGGCTTTATTTTTTGTTTCCCCAAAAGGCCTCGTACCAATGGAGATGTATTCCTTACTTATAAATCCATGATCATCTCCTTAATTAGTTAATGTTGGATTCTCTCCCAACAATTCTCAACATTAAGTAGGCGGTGTAGTTTATGACTAGACCTGACCTTTATACAATTAATTAAACGGGTAAAAATCAACTGAGATAAGATGAAAAATTGTTATTTGACTGCAAATTCTGGCTTCCATGACCTTCATGTGCCTGTTAAAGATTAGTAAAACTTGATAAACCTGGTATAATGATAAGACAGATGTTGAACGACTGCTGCTTGGCTAATCATTGTCTTTTTACTATCATCTTTGGTATAATGCTGAACTGGAGATGATATAGACATTGTGGGTTGCCCTTTGAATAACTGGCTTCACGAATGCTTAGCAATTTCGTGGCACTTTTTTTGTGTTTTTTGGCTGGGGAGGTTTCAAAGAGCAAATAAGACACACTTGAGGGATATTCATTATTTGTAGCTCTTTTATGCTATCTACTAGAGAAGAGAAGTGAGGATTCCAAAAGAGAATTGAGGCCTTTTTTTTAACTTGATTACAGGTTGTAGCTGGAGGCTTACTTGGTATTATCACCTCTTCTATTGGCCATTTGATAATCATAATAACTAAGTCTTGAACATTATGATGATGAAATAGATGAAGCCGTAACCAGTCGGTAGCTCAAATCTTGTCATTAATGAAGGCTGGTTGGTGGAAACTTCAGTGTCAGATTATTCTTGTGAATACGGTCTTCTGCACATAAAGCTCTGATCAGTAAGATATTTGATTATAATTGTTTGATTGATTGCTGTATTTAGTGCCATTGGACCAACAAAAGCTGCACCAACACTTGCAGTGAATCAGAAAACAAACATATAGTTCTTAGCATCTTTTTTGTTTTAGGTAGCTCTAATAGCACATGCTTCCAGTCAATTTTGATTCATCTGGTTTTGAATATAAGGGCGAAGGCAATACTTCTGAGGCTCATCTGACTAAATTATTACTTCTTTATTGATAAAAACTCCTGATTGTTCATATCTTATCGTACTTTATTATGATATCGAACTTTTATATGTTTAGCACCATGTTGGAAGATTCTCTTCCAAACACAGCTCCGCCCTTGAACTAAATCTACCTTTCCAACTTGAAAATATCGCAATTTGAATTAAATAGAAGAAACTCTTATCTAGATAAAAGCGAGAAAGTTGGAGTAGGTTACTTGGTCCTCACTGACCTGAGCGATTTCGATCATGTAGCAGGCTTTTGATTTGGTAGGTAACATCACCAAAGTGTATCATCAGATTTGACTATGAAGAAAGACACTTGAAGTGAGACGGCACCATCTTGTGCAATGCAACAAGAATTGGCCTTCTATCATTGGAAAAGAAAATGTACAGGTGACCATATATTTTCCCCCGAGTGCAATACGTGCGAGTGAGATTTCAAACATCTGAGCACATATTCATAATAATAGTACGTGTATGAACAAATATCAAATCTAATTCTTCTGTGTAAGTAAGAATCTTTATTTTGAAGTTTGAATGGTATAATGTTGAATTCCTGTGGAAGTACATTTCGTTCTGTAATGTGCCCCAAGTTCCCAATAAAAATTATTCGCCAATGGCAAGAAATACTGCACTTCCTATATAGACTTAAAACCAATCACAAAGTAATGCCCCATAAGAATAGAAAATAATCACTTCAACAGAGTGGTAAAAACTCTTCTAAGTTCTGTGTTTGGATCACCAGAAACACCAGACTTCACCCTCCAACCAACATGCTCGTCAGGCCGAACTAGGATCGCTCCCTTGTCAGTCATCTGACAGACATCCCACCATGATGCTGTTGAAGTGGATGGTTGCCGAATTTCTTGAACATCAATGTAGTTCTCCCATGGTGTTAGTTCTTCCTTGCTGCTTGATTCAATCCTGGTTATATCAGCAGACCATAAAATGCATACCCTAACCGAAGTTTTGAATTCCTCAGCTACCATGAGAGCTGCACGAGCAAGACGGTAAGACTCCGGTAGCGGTGCTATTATGAGAAGGAATTCGACTTTATCTCCGGATACAAGATCAAGAGTAGAAATCACCTCCTGCATAAACCCATTTCCAGTTTAGGTGACCAAATGAAAAAACCACTCAACTATCTAGCAACAGCGCAGTTGTCAAGCAATGCAACAAAAACGACTCTTAAGAGGAGAGATCATTTAGTTCACTAAATGATGTTTGAAGCCAAGGGAAGGATGGAAATAAAGAAAATTCGTAAGTTAGAATTCCCCTAAAAACCTACTGTGACTATTCTTTTTGACAATAAATGATTGAATCGTTCATTTCGATATATAAAAATTGATAAATGTGAAAACGTTGTTAGACAAAAAAACAAAGTAAATCAATAATATAAAAATGAACACATACGTCGAGTACAATAAGATATAAGACGATATTTGATCACGTCCTATATATTTAATCTTTCTGCTATATGAATTTAAAACCATAGGGAACAAATTTATAATTTAACCATTTTTTATATTTAGATGGCCATTTAGTATGAAGGAAAGCTTCATTTAAGAAGACTGACTACAGTTGGTTAAATCTGATACAGTAGGAAGTACGAGGGGGAAATGGGAATGAACATCGTACCATACTGGCCAATGCCCTCACATTCATATGAGGCAGCTTTGATCCTGGGTCTGCAGAAGGGATGTACCTTCTCCGACGACCTGTAGGCTCTTCTCGACCACCAGGTTGATTATTGTCCGGAAGAAGTGCCCCTTCAGAGTACCTAATTCCATGGATATGATTGAATTGAATATAATTAAGCCATCATTAAACCAGATGCCACACTGAAGGAGCTTTTCTTTCGTTTATAGTTCGATGCACCCGTTGCTAAACTAGGAAATGCTGGAGGGAAACGAACATCTAATGCTCCATCTTTTAACTATTTCATTTTTAATTTTCCATTTATGAAAATTGTGTATGGTTTCCAAACTTAAAAAGAAGGTTTGAACGGTTAGCCAAATTCCAAAAACAAAAACAAAATTTTAACGAACTAACTTTTTTAGCTTTCAATTTTTGGAATGGATTTTGAAAACGATCTTAAAAGTACGTAATAAAAGAAAGAAAGAAATAGTTGAAAATAGTGTTTACAACCTTCATTTTTAAAAGCCAAACGATTATCAAATGGGTAAAATTGGCTCATGCATTGAGTTTGAATATATGCTATACCTGAAACCAAGATCCTCTGCAGGGAACTGAAGTTGAAGGCTCTTCCCTTCATCAAATATGTGACTGAGTTTTGCAAGCCTTGAAGATCCAACCGGGTTTTTATCGTTCAGAAGAGTATCTGAGAGCTGCAAACGACCTATCTTAAAAATTCCATCCAGAACTTCTCTCTGTAGTGAGGATGATAAAACAGAACCAAGGCCATGGTTAACTGCTTGATGCACTGCCAAGTTAAGGAAAAAGGAAGTTATTCTCTGTATTGAAAAAGGCTTAGATGCTACAACCAATATGGTAAAGATAAGCTGAGAGTGTTTTACAGAGTGACATTAAAATTAGATGATGCTTTCTACTTACCGGAGTTCGCAATTTTTGGATCCAGACCTAGAGCCGCAGGTACTTCCATGGCTGCTTTGAAGTTCTTAACGCTAAGGGCTGTATTGAGTAGTGCTATCTGAATAGGAAGTGACAGTAGAGGTCAAGAATCAATTAGAGAACTTGTTGCTGAATTTTATTTAGGAAGCTGCCTGAGCTGACTCGCTTCACGTTGGCACCGCCCAAGGAGAAACAAGAAAGACTATATGGCTTAAATGTGTGCACAATCTTCGAACCCTACATTTGTAACAGCCTAAGCCCATCGCTAACGAATATTGTCCCTTTTAGACTTTTCCTTCAAGGGCTTCACCTCAAGGTTATAAAACGCGTCTACTTGGGAGAGGTTTCCATACCCTTATGAGGAATGCTCTGTTCCCCTCTCCAACTAACGTGGGATCTTTCAACTCTATTCTCAAATGAGTTAATTGGAGTGAAGAGGACCACATATTTATACTAAAGTCCCAACTCCACTCCACAGTTGTTTGATCGAAATTGACTAAACTACTCAGATTTGTTGAGAAAATCAATCACTTGCCATCTTTGCATCGTGAAACATATTTCTTAAAAAACTGAGCCCACGGTAGGAGAAAGTTCCAACATATACGACGAACCAAATTTGGCATGGCCGCCCATACTTGGACAGAATGCAATAACGTTTACCTCAAGAGCAATCTGAAGCTGGTGATGATCTCTCTGTTAGGTGTAAACAGTTACTTTTATAGGTGAAATTTTCAAAGTACCAATAGCCAATGATGCCACAAGGAGGAATCAAGACCATTACTTCTACTCATATAACTCAACACAACAGGATGAGCACACTTGTCTCAGCAAAGAATGTTGTTCAAGAGCATGGTGGGATGAGAACACCAGGTTAGGCTAGGTACGTGCTCATCCTCAGCAGAGCATAAACGGATGAGCACACATGCGGCCATGCCAATAAGGCAGGTGTCATCCATAGAACAGTATAATACCGTCAGCATACTAAGCTTCACCAAATAGGCATGCGTCCCGGCGAATAGTAAAAGAAGATAAGCAAAACAAGCTTGATAAAGTTAGAGTTCATCCCATATGTGATGCTCCCTGTACCCAAGTGAGGAGCTTAATAGGATCTCCTTTAAAGCATGAGTTTAGCTCGATGATGAGATGTGTCTTCAACACAAGAGTAATGATTTCCAATAGCTACAAGTACCATCACTACCCTTCTTTAAATAGGGGGTTGGATGAACATGATTGAGGTACACTTCCTTTCTACTACTCAGATATGACAACTCAAGTTTTGATCTAACTTGAATACTAAAGGTTGTTTGAGAGACACCATTTTGGTGTTTAAATTTTCTCTTGTAAAGTATTTTATGGTCATTCTCATCTTTCCTTTAGCATTCGTGTTTGTAACAGCCAAGCAGTGCAACGTGGATAATATTTTACTCAGGCAACTTTCCAACCAAAATTCAATGACAGAAAAAGAGTAAAAACGATTATAAGATTACCGGCTTCCTTTCCATTTCATAAGTATTTAATATTGAAGGTGATGCAATATCCTGTAGCACTGCAGCTAATTTCCAGGCAAGATTATGAACGTCTTGAATTCCAGTATTCATTCCTGCATCAATCATACATCAACATCATAAGATGCATGAAAACGTCCTGAGTTTTGGTTTTCATTACGTTTTTTAAATCAATAAAAAATACATTAAAAAAATATGTGCATTTGACTTTCTCTTTTCTTTTATTTAACTGATCTTGATTCAGCCTAGGAAGCTTGGACACTCTATTTTGAGCATAATGTTGGTACTAAGTATCAAACAAGAGCAATTTACACGCATGTCAAGCACATTTGGAGAGAGATTATTATCTTTTTAAGTTTCTAACACATTCAAGACACATTGAGAAACACTTGGATCACTGTGAAACATATTGTGTAGAGAAGACAGAATTTTTTAAAAAGAAGATACAGAAAATTTACATCAAGAAATGAGAAATAAATAAGAACTAAATGAAGAGAACAAATAGATTTCACCTTACAAAATCCAATGAGATGGGAGGAGGAGATAGGGGAACAATGTTGGAGATACAAGCTTTTTTGTTTAAAAGACTCGAGCATACTTCACTGTTAGAAAATCTTATGTCCTAGGAGATATCTTTAGTTTACTTTGTAATTATCAATTTTTTTAAGAAAATGAATGGATGAATATACATTACAAGTATATAATCCCAAATCTTTACGTAACAAATTTTTCAAAAATAATTTTTGGACGTCCCGACATTTTCTGTTAATTTTTTAACAAAATTATGTGGTCAAAGTGTTTGTACTGCATTATGCCTGTATATCATGCATGTCAGTGTCCCTACTTCACGGGCCTAATTTACCAAGTTATAAGCATGACACAGATTCTTCAATTTCGTTTTGGAACTTTTCATAGACAAGTTATTTAAAATTTAATCTCTGATCCTTTTAGAAGAACAAGCTATCTGTCCCCAGCTAATACTGAGAGAAATTGAAACTAATTCCACGTAAGAAACAGACAATAAGACTAGTCTTCCATATATATGTGTGTGTTTTAATATTTATGACAATTAACTTGAACTGTCTATTTTTATAAATTAGCCAAGATAATATTAACAATGGAAACGATAAGCCAAAACAACGGATAGCATTATAAATCCTAACAAGCAGTTTTATAGCATAAAACATTAATACTAACCAAAACCACCAGCTGGAGGAAATCGATGAGCAGCATCACCAGCAAGTAATACACGACCTTGACAGGATATGAACTTCTCAGCGACTTCAGCATGCATAATCCAAGGTTTTACATCTTGCACGTCTACGTCACAGAGGTTTAGACCAACCAAATCGAAGATAATCTCCTCACACATCTACAAGAAATTGAATCCATTTACTTTAAAAAGAAAATATGATCTGCATTTATACATACTACTTTTGCAGGTTAATCGTTTGAAAATGCAATCATATATAATGGGATATGCAATGTAACTTGAATAACATATCTCACTCGCTAGAACTGAATCC